CATTTCTGTTTTCAATCTCTTCCTCCGTGGGTTCTTTTTTTTTCTCTGTTTTTTTTTACAGGATTTTTCAAGGAATAAGGCTTATGTGTAAGAGTTTGCTGGGAGGAACATTTATTTATCCAACAGATTTATCATCCATCTTTCCTCCAGAAGCTCAAGACTGCACACACAACACTTCCTCTTCCAAGTTTTCTTGATAACAACCCTGTGAGGGGACTGCCCCCAAATCACTCAGTGAGTTTCTAGCCCAATATCTTAATTGCTATACCACGTTGGCCCTTAAAGAACCATCTTGAGGATAGGAGGTAGAACTAAACAACTACATCTTAGCATTTTTGTTCAATTAGCCATCATACTTCCTTACCTTAGGGCAGAAGGGGGAGCTGCATGCTGCTATAATTGTTATGGAGGGGAAGTTACCTATTTTATATGCACATGGTGTGAGGCCAGGCTGAAGCTGCCATAACTAAAGATGAAGCAGGCACGGAAGCAGAGAGGACCAAAAGGCAGGAATCTTGTCTGAAAGATCCCTTCAGGGAGGTCGATAAGAAGGAAGCAAGTTGTTAAGGAAACAAAGGGGAAAAATGTCACCTGAGCCAGGCAAAGGAGTTGGGCCTGAGCACATGGAAAAAACCCCAATCCCAGCTAATCAACAAGGCAAGAAATTTGGGGGATAAAAAGGGGCCCTGAAGCCCGCCAACTCCTTGCATCATCTTTGGATCCAGACTTGGCGGCGTCCGTCCCTCTAGCTAGTGCCTGGCAGCCTAGCTGGGAAGGACGTGGGTGAGCGTGGATGAGCGTGTGTGTGTGTGTGTTTGAGAAAGAACAAATGTACCCTGCAACCGTAAAGTTTTGCTGTTACTTTAAATTCGCTGGGGCTCCGTGTATTCCAAAGAACTGTTGTGCTTCAGCATTTGGCTGAAAGTGATTTGTGCGTGCCCCTAATGACTTCCTGGCTGTTGCCAGGGCCGCGTGTCTTGTCTGCTCTGGCTGCGGCTCTCTGGGAAACCCAGGTAGAAAGCAAGGGGGGCAGACAAGATCCACGTGCCACGGCAGGCTGTGAGTACGTGAGTGGTCATCAGCCGAATCTGGGAGCGCGTGTAAGCATATTTCATTTATTTTTAATACCCTGTCTTGCTATTCTGGCAAGGATTAACAACGGCAGCTAATAAAATTTAAAGACAGAGTAGAGCAGTGTTGTCCAAACTTGGCCACTTTAAGATGGGTGGACTTCAACTCCCAGAATTCCCCAGCCAGCCAT